TTGTGGACAACCATATGAATGCTTACGTCAATAGTATTCAGCATTTATTTAGCGGCGAATCGGTTGACGTGTTTAACAGTAGACTAGAAGTCAATGAGTTTAACAGAGAGTGTTATCATAGGTTTGTTGACACTTTCAACGATCGCTGTATGAATATCGCACAGGTAGGTCATTGTGTTTGGATTTATAAATAATTACTAAATAGCTAGTTAATTGTTTATTTAATTATTTACAAATGTTTACTTACAGAACTCGTATGTGCTTGGTAAACTTTATATGTTTATAAATGTCTGCGAGAATATGGATTATAGCAGTGCTATGGATGCTGTCACCTATTTGGACAGATACTGCCAATATAACCAGGTTCATGGATTTCCCATTGAGATTAATTAATAAGACTAATTATCATATAACATATTTGTTGATACAAACATTAATTAATAAATAACAATTTAATCAATAAAATAATATTCTCTTATTTTAATGTAAGGTATTATTTAATATTATTTTATTTTCAATCAAATTATACCAATATTATTATATGAAGCTCACCGTGCTATAACGAATTAAGTATTTTTGAATATAAATTGTTGCTGGTAGTTAAATTAAACTTAACTAGCGGATTTATTTTACCATTTTATATTTTAATTTATTAAATAATCATATTTTTAATTCAATATTAATGTTAAATAGAGATTTATAATAAAAAATTAAATAAAAGTATTATTTTTACTCACAATTGGATAATCTATTATATGATTTGTGTATTAATTACAGTTTACATTTTGTGATACTTAATGCACTATAGCATACTGTGGCCCATATACTAATACCATAAGTAAAGTTTGGGCATATAAACTGTAACAGGCTATTAGATTAATATTTTATGACAATTTCTTTTTACAATCTAAAAATGGACATAATTCCCAATATAATAATAAATACAATTAACAGTAATTTCATTAATTAAATAAATTATTTTAGCAAATAATTTTTGTAATATTACAGTTTCATTTTATATGATTTAAAAACAGGCTGTTTTGTGATAATTATTATATTTCATTAAGATAAATTAATTGAAATTTAATTGTGATCAATTTATAATTTATTAATACAATAAATGAATAAAATTTTAGTTTGAGAATCAATTCTACTAGAATAATTTATTTTAAAAAACATTATTAAAAATTAAAAGTTATTTTATTTATGACATATCTACAGTATATTATTTTATCATCCTAAACTAAACCACGTCGTATGTGATTATTACTATATTATTTTATAATTTGGATTTAAGTATGTTTAAAAAGTGTAACTACAATTTTAAACTATATGAATGAGTGAATGGAATAACCGGCTATCTCTATATCCAAACACTATGTATTGTATTATATTAATCAAGTGCATTATGGTACATTATTATCTATAGTTAATAGTTCAATACATTGTGCTTGAATATAGAGATAACCGGTTATTCCATTCACTCATTCACTCATTCATATATTTTTAATTTATTTAATTACCACAATCATATTATCAACGTTAGTGATTAAATCATTTCAGTATATAATTAATATATTTAAAAATATAAAATAAAATTGTGACTTATTTCAGTATATAAGTAATATTTTTAAATATATAAGATTAAATTATGACTTTAAATGAGTTTTTTGTTATAAATATGCACTAATATTAGTGCATATAGTACATATAGTGTGCTAAAAACTATAGGCAATAGACAATAACTTGTGGCTTATATAATGATTAATCAAAAATTATAGCTAAAACTGATTACAAATATTACATTTAATTTTGAAGCCTTTTTCGTTTGAAAAGCGATATACAAAATAGAGATAATTTTAATCCACTTCAAAGTGTGTGTGTGTGTGTGTGTGTGTGTGTGTGTGTATTAATCTAGATGCATTATATCTCGTTAAGCTATATAAGCGATGCAGATTAATTTATTATTTAAAATAATTGTTTGAACGATGAAAGT